GAATGCGCGGCCAACTTGAAGTTGTTTTTGAACACGTTTAAGCGTCGCGGCGACGACGTCGGCGTCAGCGTTGCGCTGCCCCCCGCTTCCACTGACAAGCGATTGCCTGTTTCGATGCGTGTGTGTGTTTGTGTGTGTGGTACTCTTTATGCAAGCAAAGCTTTAAGAGGCCGCAAATGATGCCGTAAGCGCGAAGTTGGTCATAACAGTCGTAAAAGTTTGCTAACTTGTTGCGCAGACTTGTTGCTGACGCAGCGTTGCCAGACTGCAGGCCAGTCAGACAGCCAGCTGAGCCGCAACATCGCCTTCAATCCAATCCAAAGTCAAGTCAAAGACGAAACGTTTGATTGCCAAATTCGCAAATAGATAATATTATTAATAAACTACATGATTCAGGGCAAGCGATAAGCTATCTATGCAATCAGTCCGAAACACTCGAAAGTCAACAGAGGCCTCTGATTACACGTATCAACGAGAAGCGTGTAACGCGCTCTGCAAAGTGCAAGGCAATTGTCAACGGTCTGGCAACGCTCAACGCGCAAGTCCGCTGGCCGCGCACGCGTCGTAAGCGTCCATGCTGCATGCGATTGTATGTGTGTGTGTGTGTGTGTCTTAAGTGCCAACCAGTTTGGCTAGTTGTTGCTTTTTTATATTTATTTATTTTTTTCCTTAACAACGGCTGCTGGGCTCCAAAAATTAAGTCTTGCTTTTGTTGTTGTTTTTTGGCCGCGACGGCGTCTTCGTTTGCTTTGCTTTTGGGCCGTTTGCTGCTTCACTGTGTTTGGTGTTCGTGTTCGAGATCGTGTTTGAGTTCGTGTGCGTGCGTGTGTGTATGTGTGTATTTTTTGTTGGCTTGAACTTGAGCTCTATACATATGTAATTGGCGCTGTTGTTTGTTGTTGTTAGTTGTTGGTAGCCCCTCTCTCTTTCGATCAGACAAGCTTGCGTGCGTGTGTGTGTGTGTGGGTTAGTGTTGGTGTTGGTTGGTTGGCTGGTTGCATAACGTGTTACAGCATCGCACGAAAATGAACATCAGCAATAACAACAACAACAATGGCAATAACAATTCAGAAAGAAAGACGGCAAGAAGAAGAAAAGATGAAAAAAAAAAAAAAAAATGAAACTGATGACGACACATGCCAAGTCTGCGAGAGCGAGTGGGTTGTCTTGTGCGCGCCATACGAAGGGTGTGCTGAGTCGATGGAGATTGTAAGAGGAGGAGGTGTGGAGAGCGAGAGAGCGGCAAACGGGCAATGCCGCATTGAGCAGCTGGAGAGCTTGCGGCGCCGTCGCAGCCGCCATGCTATGTCCATGTCCGTGTGCGTGTTGTTAATGTTGCCATTGTTGTTGTTGTGGTATTGGTTAATGGCTGGAAAATTACATATATACAAATGTATAAAAACAACATTTTGGCTGCCATTTATTTATTATTTATTTATTATTTTATGCATATACATTTTTTGCAATATCATTACCATTACAAGTGACTGCTGCTGCCGGGGCAGTCCAAAATTAATTTTAGACGTTGACGCAGACGTTGATGCCGACGGCAACGCCGACAGCGACGCTGACGGCAACAGCTAGACAATCAGCAATTGAGCGAGCGCCTTTTGCTTTTGCTTTTGCTCTTTACTCTTTACACTTTACTTATAGGTCAAGTTAAAAGTAAAAGTATTATGTGTGTGCGTCTCTGCCGCTGCTCTGCTTGCTGCTCTGTCGTTTCCTTTGCGCACATTTGCTATATTTTGCCGTTGTTGTCTTTGGGCAAAATGTGCGCCCATTTACATGGAGGAGAGACAGAGAGTGAGGTAGAAAGAGATAGCGAGAAAGAGAGAGAGACGCTACGCTGGCTTATGCGAAAGCTCAGTTGATATTAATTGTTTGCTTGTTTGCCTCTGTCTTATTGCAGGTTGTCAGTGATATGCAGCAACAGCAGCAGCAACAGCATTCGGATCACATCCTGGATGCCAGCATGGATCAGCACGTAAGCGATAAGGAGCTGCTTCATCAGCAGCAGCAGCAACAACAGCTACAGCAGCAGCAGCATCAACAGCTCCTGCAGCAGCATCATCGCTTGCATGGACCGTTAACTCGCACCATCTCACAGCCGGCTCAGCGTCTCAGCCAGTTGGCTCAGCAGCAGCAGCAACAGCAGCACCAGCCGCCGGCAGTCGCATCGCTGGTGACCATCATTGAGAATCTGAGCAACATATCGTTGCACCGTAAATTGGAGCGCACACAGTCGGAGCCGTTGCCACCCCAGCAGCCAATGAATACATCGCGGTAAGTTGAGCGACCAAAAAATCTGTTGCAATTGAACTTGTTGCACATCGAACTTAATCCTGCGGACGCGTTCGTGTGAAAGTGTTGCATTGCATTGTGTGTGAAAGTGTTGCAGCAGAGTTGTCAGGTAAACAATAACTGTTCGAACTGTGCTCAAGATAAGATGGGTATAAAAATAATTCAAAGTGAAACTAAAATTCATTCGTGTGCATCAAAATATAGTGTCAAGAGGATTGTGATAAATTACAAAATATATTTATTTAAAAGTATTGATGCTTGACAGCCCTTAAATAATTCGCATGCTTGCAGAAGAGCACGCGGCGAGGTTCGATTGTATCCTGTAGTGTGGAGAAGCGAACGCAACATGTTTGAGGCGAAGTTCGGTTCGCTGTAAAGCATAAAAGATCATTCGCAGTGTTGGCAAAATTTCAAAGTGAAAATAGCTAAATTAACACCCAAAACAAATAGAAGCAGTACAAAATTATGAAAATACTAATCAGCCAATTAAATAATACTATAAGAAAAACTTTATTGAGCTTCATGCATAGAAAAATGTCAATAAAAAACCATTGGCTAATTTAATGGCTACAAAAGAAGCTAGATGCAGCTTGAAATTGGCTGATGGGCAACACTAATAGGCAGAGTGCAGGCATTTGCAACATGTTTGAGCAGCAAAGCGAATTTTGATGGATGTGATCCCGAAAAAAAAAGTCACAGTGCTGGCAATATCTATTTGAAAATAGCTAAATGAACACAGAAGAAAACATTTAAAATGCAAATAATAATAAGAAAAATTATCAGTTATACATTAATTATGTTATAATATAGAAAATGGTTAAATTATATAGCCACAGCATTAATTCACATCAAAAGAAAGCTAGTTTCGGCTTTTTAATGGCAAAACAGAAGCTAGATGCAGCTGGAAATTGGCTAATGGGCAGCACTCATAGAAAGAATGCAGGCGAACGCAACATGTATGGGATCAGATCGTCTCACTCGCACTCTCACTCAAGTTTAATTGAACTTGTGTGTTTTGCAACTCAAAATAGCAGCGGGTAATTAGCAGGGCGCCATTGGAGCGAATTCAAGTGCATGTGTGTGTGTGTGTGTGTGCGTAGTGTTTGTGTGTTACTTGAGCGGTCGCATTTAAACACGGAACGTGTGGGTGGCAGGCGAAAGTTGAATTTAAAAATGAAACTTATATTTGCTATAATTCTCCCTCTCTCCCTTTTTCTCTCTCCCTCTAGTTACAAGACGGAATTGTGTCGTCCCTATGAGGAGGCTGGCGAATGCAAATACGGCGAAAAATGTCAATTCGCCCATGGCTACCAAGAGTTGCGCAATTTGCAGCGTCATCCCAAGTACAAGACCGAATACTGTCGCACCTTTCACAGCGTCGGCTTCTGTCCTTATGGGCCGCGCTGTCACTTTGTGCACAATGCGGACGAGGCGCGTGCGCAGCAACAGCAGCAACAACAGCAGCAGCAGCAACAACAACAGCAGCAGCAACAGCAGGCTGGCAAGGCGTTCCAGAAGCCAACGCAACTCTCCAATGGCAACACCATTACTAACAACAACAACAACACAAACATTACTCAATACTTTTTACCGCTAAGTCCGCCACTGAGCATGAGCACCGGCTCGGATCGCGAATCGCCGACCGGTTCGCTGTCGCTCTCGCCCACAAATTCGCTAACAAATTTTCCATTCCACGATGCGGCCGCCTATTTGAGCATGCCCAATGCATGCAACGGCGGCACCAATGCCAATGGGCATGCCTCATCGGCCTCGTCCACATCGTCGGCGTGCGGCTTGGCGCCGGCCACGCCGCCCGATAGCCCGAATGCGCCCATTTCGCCGGTGCATACGCCGCCGCCGCCGACGTCGCAGTCGCAGTCGCAGTCGGTGCAGCAGGTGCAGCAGTTCGAGCGCAACAATAATAACAGCAACAACACCAACAACAACAGCAACAACAATAATAATAGCAAAGGCAGCAACACTAAACAGCTGCTGCAGAAGAGCATCAGCTCGCCGCTGCAACACGAGGAGGCGCCACGACTGCCCGTCTTCAATCGCTTGAGTTCCACAACGGCTGCTTCCACAATTCTAATGCAAAAATCTCAGACTATTAATCGATATCCGATCATTCCTCAAGAGAACTTCTTGTAAATTTCAACATTTCAAATTCTAATTTATCCCTCTTCACTCTCCACGCCCACACACACACACAGACACAGCATAGACATAGACACACACGCATCCCTCTCTTCTTTAGCCCATTCTCTTGCTTTGACTGTCTCCCATTCTCGCTCTTACTCTCAGTCACTTTCTGTTTTGTCTGTCTGTCCTTTCGCAAATCTATTGCCCCGACGACAAAATATATATACATATATATATATCTATCCATATATGTCTATGTGTGTATATATCGTTATCACTGTATGTATGTATATATATGTGTACATATCTATATAGCACTATGTATATCTCTATATACATATCTGTATATACGTATGTATGTATGTATATGTGTACATATATATATGCAATGATAATTTCTTTCAAAATACTGGACCATATGAATAACAACAACAACAACAAGACGAATAGAGAATGATAAAAAGAACACGGACTGTACATTCACAAATTTTAACATTGAACACTTACAACCCCGTCCCGCCCCTGTCTTTACTGCCCTTATTATCCCGTCAATAGGATCGGCCCTGAGGGCGTTGCTGAGTGGGCGTGGTTGCTCAAATACAATGTGGACAATCACACGCATTTGTCGATATATCGATACCAATTGACTGCGCCACACCGCACGCCATACGCCGAGCCACGCCCCATTGACCACCCCCATCCCCCATCCATGCACTCGTCACACTTTTGTTTAATATTTATAAATGCAAATTCTTAGTTAAGCAACATTCACAAAAAGAGTCAGCGCCCGACTATCGATAGCAATCGATAACACGTGGTGCGTGCGCGCGTCTTCCAACACTACTACAAACAAACAAAAAGCTAGAAAAAAAAAGTAATACAAAAGACAAAACAAACACACACAAACAAACAATACACACATACACACACAATGAAAGGGAATACAAAAAAATCGAAAACTTTAATTTATTACTAAATTTTATGTAATAAACCAATGTTGTGTACATATATATGTATATCATTTATATATATACCTAAGCCTATACATATATATATATCTTTCCATATATATATCTGTATACATATCTATTGAGAACTGAGCTGTATGCTCTATCGATAGCCGATAGCGATAATAACTATGATATATATACATATATATAATATGTGTTATTCCACGATAGTTGATTTGATATACCTCCAAAACAAACAAACAAATTTTTTGAAGTTTTTTTGCCGTAAATTTGTAATTTTTTATT